CTGTGGCAGGGGGTCAGGCTAGAAGATCTGTTCAGGTCCCTTCTGACGCTAGCTACTATGAAACCTGTTCCAGTGCTTCCTCACCCTCCAAGTGAGAGAGTTTTTCTTAATATCCAACCTAAATTTCCTTTGCTGCAACTTGAAGCCATTGCTCCTTCTGTCATTCTGTCATTTGTCGTATTTGCACTGTTAGGTATGTAAACACCTACATGTGATTCACAAGAATAAACAGAGATTTCAAACAGGAGTCCATAGCTTAAAAAATATTCTGACCTGTTGTAGTTGTTCTGAGTCCTTTGCAATGGAAGACTTGCTCAATTATTTGTTATAGTAAAAAAATGAGTGAAATTGGGTTTTGAACTGGGAGGCTGCTAAATTCAAAAAAAGTTATGGATGGGTGTCTGCAGTCTAAAAAGTCTGAGATCCACTTAAAGACAATAACAGACTCAATGTTTCAGAGGGGGCAAGAAACCATTGTCAGAGGGTGGATAGGGGCCCTGCTGCAGGGAGTAACAAAATCTAGAGAGCTTTTTAATGTGTGTCAAGGAACCTTTTGTTCTATCCTTTGCAGTTTCTGTGCTAAAAGGGAAAATGTCCATATGATAACAAAAGGCACTTCCTAACTATTAAGCTCATCAGCATTTGTGTGGGGGTGGCTATCACTACCCTCCTGTTACCAAGAAGGGGTGAGTGAAGCCGAGCGAATATGTGACTTGTCCAGAGTAGCACAGCTAGTTGGTGGAAGACGCCAGGGTGGAGCGTAGGAGCTCAGTTTCTTCCCTTGACCATGGAGAAGCAAGAGACCCTCCCATCTGCCCTTTTCCCCAGAAAGCCAGTGGGAACTATGGTTGTGCAGTCAAGAGTAGGACCCAGGTCTCCAAACACAGTCTCTCTATAGACAGGACTACTTGAATTCAGAGTAGTGGTGGGAACACTGCAGCTCTGCCAAGGAAAGGCATGTCCTTGCTGTGCTGCTCCTGCTTCAGGACAGTGTGCTTTGGGAAGCTCAGAATGGGGAGAGGGAATTCTCTGTGGAGTTGGAAGAACAACAGCACAAAGCTGATCTGTGCCCTTGGTGCAGGTCCTAGGAGAGAGCATGCATATGGAGGTAAACAGCACTTGTTATGTCTTCACTGTCTAGGCACGGCAGTTGATCCTGCAGAGTGGTTTAACCCTAAGTGACCTGGACAGACACCCAGAGGTAAGGGAACTGTAGAAATGAGATCTCATCTCTGTCTGACTGGCCTCCAGTGACAATGTTTTGGTGTATGTAGGGCCAGGATGGTATATTGGGACAAAGCACTCTCCTTTGTCCCATGGGGACAAGAGCTTGCGCTGTGACTGAAGGCCCAATACAAAGAGATGGGCTTTCCTTAATCCTAGTTTGCTCGCATCTCTGAACCATGCCCCATCCGATGGCCCTTGAGCACAGACAGATGGAGTAGGTGGAGGTGTGCAGTCTGGGAGCAGGCCTGGCTGTCTCAGTGGCAGGAAGCATGCACTGGCTGAGTCCAGCCAGTCTGTTCCTTCCCCCCAGTTTCCCAAGTGTTGGCCTTATATAAAGGTGATGCTCCATGCAGGACTTTGGCCAGGATTTTGGATTAGCAGCTCATCCTGTGAGGGCTCTTCAGTGGCAGGTAGGAGTTTCAGTGGCCAGTCTCCAAATCCTGATACATCATCCACCACAAAACCCTCTGCCCTGAGGCTGTGCCATTGGTGCAGTTCTGAGCAGGAAGGAAAAATGCCACCTGCAGAGTTGCCACCCCCTTTCTGTGGTGGTCCCTGGATTATTTCCCCTTGGAGACTTCCCCTCAGGTCCTGACCCAGCCTGACCAATGTTCAGATTGAAGAGGATTAGATGCTCGAGGTGGTCTGTTAGGAAGTGGAAGAGATTACAGATGGACTTTGAGATGGCCTGTGGGTTTTCTGTGGGTGTGTGTCTGTGTAATTACATACCCAGACGCTTGTATCAAGCCGCCTTGTATTCAGTTGCACTGTTGTTCCCAAAGCCAGTTCTCAGAGCACTGCCTAAACATTTGGAAAGCAGCAACAGGTGTGTGAGTTTGGGTTATGAAGACACTGGCATGTGGGGCACTGTGTGGGCTCCATGTAGTGTCTGACCACCTGTCGCAGTTGGACCCTTCCCATATGGCAAGACGCGAGCACCTCATAGCAGGCATGTGCTCTGTGACTCCCTGCACAGCTGTGCAAACAGCAGGTGCCTGCTTTGGGCCAGCTCTTGAGAAGGCCCGATTTGTTCCCCAAAGTTTTCAAGCTGCATTCTCTCTTCTCACAGCTTGACGTTGCCATCGACGGAGCTGATGAAGTGGACTCTGACCTCAATCTTATCAAAGGTGGTGGGTAAGCAAAGCCATCCAGTATGTGGGCAGAGCAATAATGAAATCCAGCAGCTTCAAAGAATATAATTCTCATATTGGAAAGGGGTCTGGTGTGGTTGCCTTGAGTGGCTTAAATTGAAACTGCGGCCTGCTGTGCAAGGGCCCATGTGAAAATTAGGTTCCTGCCCAGGGAGCTGAGAATCAAAATAGACAAGGGGGAAGCAAAAAGTGGGACAAGGAGTAGGGTTGGTGGCCAGCAATACTGGCAGAAATTGCTATGGGTCGTGACTTCCTTGCAGTTAGTGGGGATTTCTCACTCAATGCAGGGCCATTGGAAATAAGTTCACTGTGAATTCCCTGCTCGTGCAGGGTCTCAGGCTCATAGGCGTTGTTATCATAGAATCATAGAAGTCGGGTCGGAAGGGACCTT